TAAAGCTATAGAAAGCAGCTTTTGGGAATAGTTAATAGTTTACCTGTAATTAGACATTTTAAGAGCTTATTATACCGCTATTAGTAGAATTCTTCTTCTTAAATAGTAACTAACTTGGTAATAAGAAGTTATTAGAGGAATAGCTTTATAAAATAACAGGGATTTCTGTTCTCGCTTTTTAAGGCAGGCCTCTTTCTAATTTTAGCTTTAGTAAGCGAGTATTATAGGTATAAAATCGGGATACTAAGTATAAAGAAGACCTTATTTATTTCTTACTAGGTATCTTTAATATCTTAATACTAGTTATCTATAGTAAGGGAAAAGAGGATATATTCTATAGGCTAAACCGCAAATAGAAATTCTGACTGGATAAACTTTTATAAGCTACCTCAAATTATACCAAGCGGTTAGGCATGCTGCTATAGATATTTGAGGGGCATAGTAGCTAGATCTTATTAGTAGCCTTCTTACTCGAGTTAAGGCTACTAGTATTAGTATTAGTTAATATAATAGTGCGGCTCTGGGATACGGCCACTGGTATACTATAGTAAACGCTTAAGGGATATAGTAGCTGGGTTATATTAGTAGCTTTCTTACCCGACTCGAGGCTACTAGTATTAGTATTAGTTAATATAATAATACGGCTCTAGAATATAACTACTAGTATACTATAATAGAATATTATAGCTACCTAAGGTACTATACAGATATACTATATAGGATTAAGGCTATAAATGTAATTACGAGACTATATCTTTACTCTAGAGCTAATAAAGTATACTAGAAAATCAAAAATATAAATTAAAATCAAATTCAAACTTTATATAATCTTATATTCCGCTTATTCTTCCGTTTTATTATAAGTTATTTCTTAAAATAATAGCTCCTATAAGAGCTCAATTAGCTCTATAAATATAATTAATGCCCTTAGTAAGGCCGAGAACTATTTTCTCTTACTCTAGTAGTAATAATATCTTAATATAGCTCGCAAACTAATCTAGGAGACTAGAGGCAAGTATAAAAGTAATTGTTTTAGGGATAAGCTCTAGGTCTTTTATTCTAGAATCTTTACTTTTACTCTTTTACTATATCTGCTATTATATACTTCTTAATACTTGCCTGAGCTACTACTAGTAGCTCAAGTAGGGGCATTACGAAAGCTTAATACTTGCTACTTTATAAAGACCTTATATATATCTAATCTTTTTCTAGTAAGGCTTTTAGATATCCCTATTTAATAAGTAAGGATAAAACTTTTATAAGGCCCGGTTAAGAAACCGGCTATATATTTTCCTATACTATATTTGCGTATTATTCCTTAATTACTACTATATACTAAGGCTAAGATTATAACTATTATTTTTTTATTATATATTACCTATATTCTTTTTAAATATTTAATATTAAGAATAGAAAAAAAGTAGTAATATTATTACTAAGTAATATCTTATTTCTGCTTAGTACTTATATAGACTATTTAATAAATACTTCCGTTATATCTGCCTATTACTATAAAGATTAATAGTTATAGGAAGTTTCCCCAGAGCTCTAGGTAAGCTATTATTTTTGCTAGCTACTCTCTCTTTTTTATTTAATATAATTTTATTAGATTATACTTTTCTTATATTCGAATTCTTTAATTCTGAGCTTGAACTATTCTTATTATATTTTTGGCTATTACTAAATACGAATACTATTAAGATAGAGATTTAAATAACTATTAGAATTATTAAACTAAAAAAATACTTTAAATAATATATAATAAAGTAAAGTTTCTTCTCGAGAATAAACTATATAAATAGAAGAAAGACTTTCAAGATTAGAAGAAAGAACTTTAAGAAATAATACGAGAGCTATTAGTAAAGTATATTAGTAATTCTCTTTATTTTATATATTATAAACTTAAGGTCTTACTAATTCGGTTTCTTTTCTAGAATATATAATTAGTTAATAAATTATTAAAATAAAAACTATTTTTAATGAATTAAATCTCTTTCCCTAAAAAGATAATCCGGATATACTAAATTATTTCAGATAGGCCTTTAACGGAAACTATATAGGCTTTCCTATAAATAAACTGAGTTTATAGAACTAATCCTATATTCTAGAGTATTTTAAGGCTCTCGAGAATAATAAATTATATATTAAGGACTTAGAAAAACCGCCAGATCTAGATAAACCTAAATTTTAGCTTATAAGGGCTATAGAAAATATATTTAGAGAATATATTTATATATCTTAGTAGCTATTTATTTAACTACAAATAGCTACTAATAAAATATATAGTAAAATATATAGGCAGACATATAAAAGATCTTTAAAAGTATCTTATTAGAGATAGTTCTACTAGTCTTAGAACCTGAAAGTAGGGCTTTTTATAGTAAGAAAAGTTTTATAAATTTCTATATTAGAGATTATTATAGAAATAAAGTAATAAAGATTTAAAAGCTTTAATAGAATTATTAAAGAACGGATTATTAAAGCTTATTCGAATTAAGATAAGTTGGCCTATAGACCTTAAAATAACTAGCCTTAACTACTTTATAGAGCCTGTAATTAAGTTTATTATTAGTATCTTATAAGAAAACTATTAAGAAAGAAACCAAAGCTATAAAAGCTATATAATAGTATAGTAATATAATAGTTTCTAGCTCAGATAATAAAGATAACGAGGAAAATGAGCCATATAATAATAATAAGTATAATAATAACTTTAATAGCGGAAGTACTATAGTTATAAATAAAGGCTCTAATTCAGGTAACTTTAAAAGTTACTTATATATAACTTACTAGTTACTAAAATATCTTATAAGGCTTAAAAAGCTATAACTAAAGGTATTAGAGCTATAAACTTTAAATAATACCCTAGGGAATAGTAATAGAGACCTAATTAAAGAAATAAAGAAATAATATAAGTTAATTACCCGGAATAATAAGATTTTATTAGAAAAGCTTAGAGAAAAGAAACTAGAGGTTAAAGAAATAAAAACGAAATACAGTAGTTTAGAATTAAAAGATAAGGAAATAATAAGGAAATATACTACTTTAGAATAGTAAAATAAAGAAATAAGAACGAAATGTAATTATTTAAAGCGAGAAAATAAAAAACTAAGCAAGAAATATACTATTTTGAAATGAAAAAGAGAAGAGATAAATATAGTAGCTTCTATTATTATAGAAAAGGCAATAATTATATCCGAAGGCTATAATATATTAATTATCGAACTCAAGTAATAAAATAAGAGTAATAAAATATTAATAATAAGAATACTATCAAGTATTAAAAGAAGTTACTTTTCTATTCTCGAAATAATAACTAGACTAACCAAGCTACTAGGTCAGGCCAGGTATTAAGAATTCCCATATAAAACTCACGTATAGCCTTCTAATATTCCGGTAGCTTTGGAGATTAGCCAAAATCCATACTTAGGATATATTATATATACCCGACCCCTTTAGTCTAGTCTGAGTAAGCAAAGTCCTATATATCCTATATATTCTATATATCCTATATTTATTCTAAAGCCAAATAACGCATATACTTTAATATTAAACTACTATTTTTTTTTAAGTAATAGCCGAGAAGATATAGGAATAAGTATAAAGAATATACTAACTACTTAGAGTAATAAAAATATTACCCAGAGAGATATTAAGTAGCTATAAATAGAATTACCAGATTACAAAATTTTCAGGATTAGGCTTACTAATAACTAGAGTAGCCAAATATTCTTCTTTAAATAAGAATAGTCTAATAATAAAAGGCCCCAGACTATCTCCAAAAAAGCAAGGAATTAGGTACTCTTATAGTTCACTTAAAATAAATTAACTACTTCTAGTAAAGATATTACATTTCTTTAATTTTTTTTTTATAGTATTATATTTCTATATCTGATTCCCCTAATACTTCTTGCCTTAAATACTGCTTCCCTCGACTATAACTGCTCCCGTAATAGGGCTAGCTAATAAAAAAATAAGTAGAGCCATTTTTAGATACTTGTTCTAGCAAATACTAAGGGGTAAGTAGGTATATAAGGCTTGAGCTACTATATGTCTATCTATAGAAGGAAGCTTACTTAACTCTATATTATACTATATTATAATCTAGTATATATATACTATAGCCAAAGTTCTATCTGGGAACTTCTTAAAGATCTATTTCTAAGGCTTGCCTTCTTTTTTCTATACTAGTAAGCGCTACTTATCTAGAACTTCCTATGGGATATTTATCTCCTTATACCCGAATAGCCGAGCCTGCCCTTACTCGAATATCCGTTATTATTACTACTAAGGTCGGAATTACTATTACTCAAACCGCTATTATTATTACTGCTTAATGGCTTACTTCCTCGCAATACAAGAGTTCCGGTATTAACGGGCTTTGCCTTCTTTAGGCCGGGTATATATTATATTAATATGGTTACGATCTGCCTCTATAGTAGTTAATAGAGTTATATTACCGAATAAAGGGTGGGATAATATATGCCGGCTAAAGCTACTTAAAAGGTATAAATATTGCTTAATTAGCATAATAGTAAAGTTATTAATTATCCCTATATAGCCCGTATTCGCAATAAGTCAAGCCGGCTAGACCAGAGAGACTTCTTGCCTATTATAATATCTCAGATTATTGCCGTAAAGAAAGAGTAATATGCGGAGTGCGGACGGAACATAATCTCGGTACTTTGTCGCTATATTTATAAATAGTACCGGTCCCTGGTTAGATTCCCATAAGTTAGTTACTATTACTATAAGCCAAATATATCTCTATTATATATCTCGAATTCCGGGCCTGTAGCCCTAATTACTATTAGCTACTGCCGCTATTACTGGCCGCAGTATACTGAGTAATGCATTGCTCGACCTAATCTACTAGAGCTTGTCAAGGATACTGACTTGTTCCGGGGCCGGTTTACGGCCGGTTACTGTGCTCTTAGAGCGCGGAGGAGTTAGCTTATAAATATACTCTGATTTAACAAAAATAACTATCTTGGGAGCATGGAAATAATTGGGAGTAGTCGAGAAGTTCTTCGCTAGCTACTGGCTATATAACTGGACTGCAAAAGAGATAGCAGAGACGGGGAAATTAAAGGGTTTATATAGGCTTCTTGCATTACCCTTGCAGAACCGGAATATGCCCTGTAGCCCGCCGTGCTATACTATGCCATGCCAGGCTTTCCCCCTTCTAATGCCCTTGCCGTGAAAAAATGCCTTGGCGTTAATGCAGCCCCTCTTATACAGAGAGATCCGCTATAGCTATAAGGCCCTATTACCGTTAATCCTGTACTCTTATCCCGGAATATGCCTATCTATAGCCGTTATTCCCACTTTGCTATATACTACGATTGGCCAATCTCAGTATTATTTCTCGATTGTCGGCGAGGCCGTGAAAAGCTGAGCAGGAAGGAGCGACAATTATTATACGAGGGGGGGGGGGGGTATATGACTTCGGATATTGCCCTCTTTGCCTGTCCGAGGGCTTTAGGCAGACTGGTAGACTGGCACATTCTCCAGGTCTTTCCCGTTGCCTGGTGTCTCAGCTGCTAATTCTGTAGCTGGCGTGGTCCAATTAGCGGATCCTTAGTAGATCTTTCAAGGAAATGCTTCTAGTAGAGCCCTCGTAATAATCCTGCCGCCTCGAATTAGCCCAGGGCCACGTAATCAGGACAAATACGATATATGCTGCGGTAAGGGGGAAACTCACCAGGATGCTCCTAACGCAGTTGCGAGGCGGAGGTTGTTGGGTTGTTGAAAAGGAAGGAAGAAGGGAAAGGAGCGAGCGATGGATGATGTAATGTTCTTATACCCCGCGAAAGCGGCGGCCGGCCCGTGCGCGTGCCTTGCCCGATGCGGGGGTCGCGGTTTCCGCATACGGGCTTGCCGTCTGGTTATTTACTTAATTATAATAAAGGCTCTTTTATTTCTTATATTAATTAGCTTTTATTTATAATTTTAATATTAAATAACTTATAACTTTAAGCTAATAAATATTAAATATAAGTTTTATAAAATAAAGTATTAAGTATTAAAAATAATTATAAAAATAAATTAATACTTTAAATTATAATATAATTTATTATAACCTTATATACTTTTCTATTATTTTACTACTTTAAACTATAATTATTTAATTATAATATATTAAATTAATTAAAACTAATTAGAATCTAATAAACCAGATATATTTATATTTTTTTAATAAATTCGTATATTATAACTAGCTTTTCTGTAATTTTTATAATATTATATATTTAATTGCTTTTTATTTTAATAATTTCTTTAAATACTTATTATATTAAATCTATTTATTTACTTTTTTCTAGACTAAAATATTATATATATTCTTTATAATAAATATATTTCCTTAATAGATATAATTCTTTTTAGTTCTATAATATTTAGAAAATACTTTATTTATCTTATAAAAAGTATAAACCTTAATAGCTAAAAGGATATTCTTATATACTAAAATTTCTATACTTTTTACTAATATAATAATACTTAAAAAAAAGTAATATTAGTAAGCTTTTTTAATAGTAAATAATATAATTTCTAACTAGAGTTATTTATAAAAGAATATTAGTTAGGTTATATAGTATCTAAAAGGGCTAAATTAGTATTAGAATTTATAATTTAATATTAAGCTTCAAAATTACTATTTAAGAATTAAAGGAAATTAGGCTAGCTTTATAGAATTTAGCTTAAATATTTTCGACTATAATTAATTATAGATATATTACTTTAAAGGTTATAAAAAACTCGATTTTAGTAATATAATAGATATAGGCTTTTATAAAGCCTTTAATTTACTAGCTATATATTTATTTTAATATATTAAAATATTTAATATTAAATAGCTAAATTAAATAAGAAAAATATAAAGGCAATTTAAAAGCTATAATATTATAAAACTTATAATAGTTTTAGAATTTAATTAATTTATAATTCTTATATTTATTTAGAACTAGTATCTAATATAGGTTTTTTATATAAGAAATAATATATTTACTAAAGTATTTTATCTATTTTAAACTCGTTTTATTATTTATTTACCTATTATTTATAGATTTAATAACTTAATTATATAGGAAATTAGTTTTAAAATATTAATTTATAAAATAATTAATACTTTAAATAGCTAAAAATAAAGAAATATTTCAATTTTTATTATTAATATAAATAATAGCTATTATTTATTTCTAATTATTTAATTTAATTTTATTAATTCTATTATATTAATTAATATATATAATTATTATTTCGGATATAATTAAATCTATTAAAAAGCCGGTTTTATTAAAGTTATAGAAATTATTATTTATTATATTATATTTCATTTATATATTTTATATTAATTAAAACTATATACTAATTAGTTTAGAATCTTTATATAAGGCTCTTTAAAAGTTATAAATCCGGTTAAAATATATTTTTAATTTTAGATAATATTATATAAAATAATATATCTAGAGCTTATTAATAGGTTTTATTTAATATATTTTTTATAATTAATTTACTATATCTTTTATATTAGTTTATTAGAAAGAAAACCCTTTAAAATCCCAATTAAATATATAATTAATAATAATTTATTTCTTGAATTTATTTAAATTAGTATTTATTAGCTAATATTTAAAGAGAATAATTCGGCTATTTATTTTATTATATAATATAGATTTAGGAACTTTATAGATTTTTATAGTCTTTTAATAGCTTAATTTTTTTATAGATATTTAAATAGCTTTAATAATTAAATATAAGATAATTAATAGTATATAATAAAATAATAAATAAATTAGTAAAATATAAAAACTATATAATATTAGATTTATTATAAAACTAATCTCTATTTCTTTTAAAAGATTTAGGGAAATCTCTTATAAATAGAATATTTAGCTAATATATATATTAGTTATAAATTAATAAATATAATTAATTATTAATAATAAAGTAATATAATAAAATTAGGAATTATTAACTTCTTTTTTTTAAAATTAAGGTTTCTAATTTATTATATATAATTAGTTTTATATAAGGCTTTATATATATTATAAATATATTTCTTTTTATAAATCTTATTTCTGAAATTATTTAATCTATTCTAGTTAAAAATATACTTAATTCTATTAAACTAAAAACGCTAATATTTTATAAAGTAATTTCTATAATATAATTCTAAATAATAAGTATTTATTATTTAATTAAAATAGTATTAAATAAATAAAAAGACCTAATATTTATAATATAATTATAGGTATTAATTAATAATTATAATTTTATTTTAAGAGTCGAATATTCTAATTAGCCTAATAGAAAATACTAAAATATTATTCTATAAAATTAATATTATTTATTAAGCTATATATTAGAATATTTTAAATAGCTTTAAAAAAGAATTTATTAGAATATTTATATATAAATCCTATATAAATTATTTATAAATACTAGAGTTTATTTATAAGTCTTTAAAAGAATATATAAATTATTTATATTATTTCTTAAATAGAACTAATATAAAAACTAAATAATTAATTTAAATAGTTTTTCTTTTTATAAAAGAACCTTTTTATATTATAAAAAGCTTTTTTCCTTTTTAATTAATAATACTAATAATATTAATATCTTTTATCTTTATTTTCTATTCTCTTTTTCTATTTTTTAAGCTTTTTTTAAGCTTTATTAATTGTTTTTAATTAATTTTATAATATTTTCTTATTTAATTCGGCTTTATTAAAAGTATAAAAGTAATCTTATAGCCTCTTTTTCTATTACTAATAAGTATTTAAAATATTTTAAATATTAATTTATTAATTTCTTTATTTTATATATAATTACTTTTAATAAAAAGAATTATAACTATTATAATAGAGGTTTTAAGTCCTATATTTTAGTAAAATTTCTAGTTCTAATATAAGCTAAAACTAATATAATTCTAGATTTCTTATAGTTTTTTAAAGATTTATTAGTTCTAGAAAAATATTATTATAATTTTTAAAATCTATTTTAAATAGTATTTTAAATAATATTATACTAATAAAGAAAATTCTATTAATTAAGTCTTTAAAGACTAAAAGAAATCTAATAAATTCTAAAACTTTTCTTTATATCTCAAAAATACTAAAAATAATATAATTTAAACTAAAGTTCTAAAAATAAGTTTTTATAATATATTTTAGAAGCTATTTAGCTTCTTTAAAGAATTCTATAATATTTATATTTAAGGTATTAACTTTATTACTACTATTTCTTTTAAAATTATTAAATAATCTATTTTTAGTATATTAGAAACTAAGAATATAATATTTATTATTATTCGAGATTTAATTATTAAAGTTAAGGCTTTTTATAAAGCTTATATAGCTATTATAAGGTTTTTAAAATATTCTTCTAACTTTTCTATATTAATATTATTATAATATAATTATATTCTAATAGAAAATAAATGAATTTTAGAAGGTATTTCTTATTTTTTTATTAAGTTCTAAATAGAACTAATATCTAATATTTTTACTTTTAAAAATAGAATTTATAAAAGTTAGAATTTTACTAATTTGAAATACTTATAACTAGTTTATTTATAATAAGCCTTTTTAATTTTCAACTTTTTCTTTTTAAAATATAAATATAATTTCTTATAAACTTTAATAAAACCTAGAAAAAAATATTTTAATTATTATTTAAAATCTTTTTTAGTTTTTTAGGCCCTTTTTTCTTTTTAAGTAGCCTGTTTTTTTATTTTAAAATCTTTAAATCTTTCTTATTTTTAATAGAATATTAAAAGATAATTATAGATTTCAAATTATAGTTTTAATTATATAATATTAGAAGTTTTTTAGAATTTTTAAAATTAAGAAAAGCAGGTAATTAGATATTATAATTATTTAGTTAATATAATATAATAAGTTATATTCTATTAAAACCGCTTTATTTTAATAGTTTTAATATCTTGATTATATAATAAAAGCTAGAGCCTTTTATATATAACTTATAGAAATTATATAAAAAAGCTAGCTTTCTATAATTCTAGATAATAATTTTTTTTATATTTAATTAATTAAACTTTTAGATATTATATACTATTTATATTATATACTATTCATATTTTATTATTTATATCTTTAATTTTATTATTTTATTATTAAGTTATATTTTATAGTCTAGTATATTTTATATAAGTTTTTATTTTATTATAGTTTCTCTATTATATATTTTATAATAAATAATATAAGGAAATCGAAATTTTATAATTAAAATAATACTTTTATAAAGTTTTAAAAGATTTCTATAAAGCGGATTATTAGCTTAGTAAATTTAGAAAGAAAAAAGCTATTATAATATTTTAAGTCTAAAACCGAAATATTAAGAATATATAAATACTAATTTCTAATATATTTAGTAATTTGAATATAAATTAGCTATAAAATATAGTTACTAGTATA